TGGTCAACATGGTGAAACCCCGTCTCTACTAAAAATACAAAAAATTAGCTGGGCATGGTGGCACGTGCCTGTAATCCCAGCTACTCAGGAGGCTGAGGCAGGAGAATTGCCTGAACCCAGGAGGCGGAGGTTGCGGTGAGCCGAGATCGCGCCGTTGCACTCCAGCCTGGGTAACAAGAGCGAAACTCCGTCTCAAAAAAAAAAAAAAAAAAAGGAAAACAAGCAAGTAGACAAATACTAAAACAACTGTTTTTCATGAATTACACAATAGGCAGTATAGGAGGTGATTCCTGAGAGGAAAAACAATGAAGTGAGGTCTACAATCACCCCAGCTTTTTGCCTGGAGGTAATTTCTGGATGATAGCAGAAGGAAGGGTAATATTCACAGAGCTGAGAGAAAAAAGGTGCAAGTTCAGGGAGACCATGAGGGTTATAAATCGTGGGCCAAAGGACAGGTTACATATAAAAGGGTTACAGAAAGAACTACAGAAATATGCATAGGGTTTGCCTTAAGTATTTGGCTCAATGCCAATTTACAAACACATAAAGTGACATTCCAGGAGGCCAGAGAACTACTGTTGGAAAAGAACAAATATCAGGAATCCCTAAGCTAAACAATTAAATGAGTTCACACAGGGCTGGGAATTGCTTGTGTTTCTACCAGCCAGAGTGAAGAAACCTCATTGAGCATATGAATATTCAAAGAAATCCCTTGGGCCACACCTTAATAGTGAGACTAAACTGCCCTAGATTAAAAGCTACACCAGGACTAGCTTCAAAAAGCTTAAAAACATGCCCTGTAATAATCAAGACTTCCATGAAAAGATCCTACACACTTTAAATAAATTTTTTAATCACTCAAAAACATAAAAATTTAAATATTTGTCATCCAACCAAAAATTACCAAACATGTAAGGAAGCAAAAAATTTAACCACTATGCAGGAAAAAAAAAATCAATCAATATAAACAGATCCAAGAAAGATTGTGATGAAAGAATTTACAAAGAAAAACTTTAAACAAGATTTTATAAATATTAATAGGATTTTTTTTTTTCAGACAGAGTTTTGCTGTTGTTGCCCAGACTGGAGTGCAATGGCACGATCTCGGCTCACTGCAACCTCCGCCTCCTGGGTTCAAGCAATTCTCCTGCCTCAGCCTCCCGAGTATCTGGGACTACAGGCACTCACCATCGTGCCCAGCTAATTTTTGTATTTTTAGTAGAGAAAAGGTTTCACCTTGTTGACCAGGATGGTCTCGATCTCTTGACCTCATGATCCACCTGCCTCGGCCTCCCAAAGTGCTGGGATTATAGGTGTGAGCCATCGCACCCAGCCAGGATATTTTTAAGAATATAAAGAAAAACATAAATCTAGTAAAGAAGAAAATAGAATATATTAAAATAATCAAAGGAAACTGTTGGAGATCAAAAATAACATATCTGAAATAAGAATTTCCTGGGGCATGATTAACAGCACACCAGACACTACAGGAAAAATGTTTTATGACAATACGTAACAACAGAAACGATGCATAATGGAGTATAGAGAAAAGCACACTGAAAAATGACACACAGGTTCAGTGACTGCTAAAGAATGCCAAATTTATATATATATATATATATATATATATATATATATATGTTATATAAATATATTCACAAAGTGATAGAAGAGGCACAGGAGAGTGAAAATACAGTTGAAGAAATAATGGTTGAAAATTTTTCCAAATTTGCTAAATTTTAAATTCATATATACAAGAAATTCAATTTATCCCACGCAGGAAGAACTCAAAGCCAGTCACAGCAAGTCAAATTTCTGAAAAACATTGATAAAGAAAAACATTCTAAAAACCAGACAGAAATAAAGGATTCAATATTTTAAAAAGAATAAATCTCAGTATTGTCATAAATTTTGTGTCAGAAACAATTCAACATAAAAAACAATGTAATGATATCCTACAGTGCTGAAAGAAAGAAATGTCTATCTAGAATTCTAAATCCACCTTTTAAAAAACAGTCTTTAAAAACCCAAAGGCAAAATAAAGACATTTTTCGAAAAGTGAGAGTGAAAGAATTTATAAGCCACAAACATGCACTCAAGCAAGTAGTTAAGGGCATTCTTCTGGCAAAAGGAAAATGATCACAATGAAAACTTGGTTCTACTTAAAGAAGCTAATAAAGCTTAAAATAGTAAGTATGTAGGAAAACATTTTTTAAAATCTCTTTTCTCTAAATAGTAATTGACAGTATAAAGCAAAAATAATACAACATATTATGGAGTTTAAACATATAGAAACACATCTATTCCAATAACTGATAGATCAAGTAGGCAAAATATACATAGACAAGGACATGGACAATATGAACACTATCAACCACCCTAATGTAATTAATACCTTACCCAAGAATGACAAAACATATATTTTTGTTATATACCTGTGATATACATGTGTGTGTATGTTTATATATTTATATATATACACACCAAAAAAAGAATTAATCTAAGTATTATCATAAATTTTTTGTCAGAAACAATTCAGCACATCAAAGTGAAATTAAAAATCAATAATAGAAATATGCTTGAAAAATGCTCAAAATTTGAAATTAACATGTATTACCAACCAATGTGTAAAAGAGGAAAAAAAAAAGGATGAGAAATTTAGAAAATCTTTTGAACTGAATGAAAATTATTTTAAAAGGTCAAAATTTGGGGGATGCAGCTAAAATAGTATGTAAAGGGAAATCTGTGAATTAAATGTTTTTATCAGAAAAGAAGATGTGAAATCAGTGGCCTAAACTCCTACCTTAAGAAATCAGAAAATGAAGAGCAAATTAAATAGAAAGGAATCAGAAATAAGGAAATAATAAAGTGTAAACCAGTAAAATATATAACAGAAAATAGAGAAAAATCGATGAAACCAAAGACTGGTTCAATAAAAGATTAATGAAATTTATAAACTACAACATAGACTTATCTAGAAATAAAGAGAGAAACAAATTGCCAATTTTAGAGAAAAAGGGACATTATGACACAGATTTTAAGCATAAGAAAATAATTTTATAAAAAACTATATTCCAACAAATTTGAATATATATATGACATGTCAACTTTGTTAAAATATTCAAATTACAGTACCTGACACAAGAAGAAAGCAAACATCTGCATAGCATTATATCAATTTAACAAAATTGAATTCCATGGTCAAAAGTTTTCCATTCCACTTCTGCGCATATGAAGTAGAGGTACTTTTTCCTACTATTCCGACTAGGTGCAGATAGACAGGGCATTATATATAAAATTAGCCAAGATGACTCTGAAAGATGGCGAGAAGAAAACAGACAAGTTAGAGACCTCAGGTCCTGAAAGACTGTGTTCGTGAGTTTTTGCAATTTTTGTTTTATCCCCTTACATCCCAAACTTAGTGTTAAAGAAGCCAGCAAGCCAAAAACACCAGCAGGAGCTGATCAACAAGAAATTTCAACAAAAGCCAGCTCATCTAACCAAAGAGAAGGAAAGGGACAACCTAGAAATACAGAACATTTTAAGACAATATCTACTCTACCCCTCCTAAATACCACTGGAGAAAAACCCCTACAAATTCACCCTTACTAACACAAGTCAAGTTAAGAATCTAGACTCCTATCATTCCCAGGCTGGAAAAAAAATCACCTCAACTTACCTGTCAGAGTGATGTCAAAGAAGACCAAGGAGAAACCTGGATTTTTGTATTTATAAGGTCACAATGAGGGCTACTCTCACAGTGTCTGTGAAGACCACAAAGGGAGCTAGATGGCGCAAACCCACTAGATCAAAACAAAGTACTCTTATCATTTATCTCTGGGTTAGGGTCAGAAACATAGCAGAAAGTCGAGACATTCATCCTCACTCAGTGTTAATGAAGTCATCTCCCCTGTGGCCTCAGTGGAGACTGCATGGGGAAAAGTAGCTAAGTCCTACTCTTCTCAGCCAGAGTGGTATTAGCAAGGTATAGTGGGGAGTCAGTACTCCTGCCCTAGGTGTCAACTGAGGCCATTTACAAAAACTGGAATTTCATCTACCCCTAAAAATAAGTGGGCATTATTTCCTAATTCCCCGCCTCTTTAAGAGTGGAGTCAGAGGAGGACGGCTAAAACAGAAAATGTATTAAGATAGTCTCATAACGTAACACCAAAAATGCTCAGGTTTCAGTGAATAATCATGCATCACACTACGACCCAGAAAAATATCAACCTGCATGAAAAAAGACAATCAATAGATGACAGAAATATTACAATTATCTGACAAGGATTTTTAAACAGTGATAATAAAAATCCTTTAATGAGCAATTACAAACATGAATAAAACAATTTTTTAAAAAGACAAAAAAGAGAAAGTCTCAGATAAATAGAAGCTATTAAAAATCAAAAGGAAATTTTAGAGCTGAAAAATACAATAACAAAAATTAAAACAGATCGGCTCAACAGCAGAATGGAGAAAACAGAAGAAAGAATCACTAACTTTGAAGATGAAACAAAGAAATGACCCACTCAAAGCAACAAAAAGAAAATTGACTGGCAAAAAATAAACAGAGCCTCAGGGACCCGTGATATCATACCAAAGTTCTAACATTCATGTCATTGGAATTCCAGAGGAGAAACAAGTTGAGGCTGGAAGAATATTAAAACAAATAACAGCTAATAAATTTTCAAAAATGTAAACAACGGAAATTCACAAATTCAAGATATGAGTAAACCTCAAAGAGAAAAAAACTCAGAGAACTCCTCCTCAAGACACATCATAATAAAAAATTCTAAATAACCAAATACAAAGAAAAAAATCTTGAGAGAGAAAAATTATATATTACCTAGAGGGGAAAAATATATTATAATTAATTTGTGACAATTCAAATGACAGCAAATCAATCATCAGACACTATAGTGAACAATATTTTTCCAGAGTAGACAGAAAAAAGTTACTAATACAAAATTCTGTCCAGTGAAAATATCCTTTAAAAATTATAGGTGAAGGCTGGGTGCAGTGGCTCACACCTGCAATCCCACCATTTTGGGAGGCTGAGGTGGGCAGATTGCCTGAGATCAGGAGTTTGAGATCTGTCTGGCCAACATGGTAAAACCCTATCTCCACTAAAAATGCAAAAATTATCTGGGCGTGGTGGCATGTGCCTCTAATCCCAGCTACTCAGGAGGCTGAGGCAGGGGAATTGTTGGAACCAGGGAGGTGGAGGTTGCAGTGAGCCAAGATCATGCCACTGCATTCTAGCCTGGGTGACAGAGTGAGACTCTGTCTCAAAATAAATAAATAAATAAAATTAGAGGGAAAATCAAAATCAGATAAAGAGAAATTGTTGCCAGCACATCTACCCTAAAATAATGGCCAAAGGAAGTCCTTCAAATATAATGGAAATAATAAAGAATAGAACCTGAGAACATCAGGAAGGAAGAACAACAGAAAGAGTAAGAATATGAGTAAATACAACAGACTTAACTTCTTTTCTTGAGTTTTCTAAATTATGTTCCAAGGTTGAAGCAAACTTAGAACACTGAAGTAGTTCTTAATTTATATAGAGTGAATTTTTAAGATAATTATAAGAAGACTAGGGTTAAAAGCCGTAAGTGGGGATTAATGGTTGTCATGGCTTAGAGTCAAAAGAGGGAAGAGGATAGGAGTGAGTATGAAAGGACAGTATGAGGGAGATTTTTGTGATGATGGAATAGCTCTATGTATTAATAGCATAAAAACTGCACAGAACTGTATATGCACTTTGTAGCAATGCCAGTTTTCTGGCATTGTTATTGTATTGTAGTGAGTTAAGATATAATCAATGAGGAAAACTGCTGAAGGTGACACAGAACCTCTCTGGACTATCTTTGCAACTCGTTGTGAATATATATTTATTTCAAAATAAAAGGTTTTTTTTAATTTCAAACTTTCCACAAATAAAACTCTAGGCCCAATTGTCTTTATGGTGAATTCTACCACATATTTAAAATAAAGAAATGGAACTATGTTTGGACAACAAACAAGGTGGAAGCAAGATGGCTGATTAGAAAGCTAGGGTTCACAGCACTGACAGAGAGGAAGGAAAAAGGGATGAATGAATTCGGTACTTCCAACTGAAGTATCCAGGTTCTCCCATTAGGGCTGAATAGGCAAGCAAGTGGACCCATAGAGAACAAGGAGCAGCAGGGGGAATCAATGGCCTATCCCGGAGTGGCATAAAACCTGGATGGAACTGCCCCCCGTCCAGGGAACATGGTGAGTGATTGTGCAACCCTGCCCAGGAAACCACATTTCCCCCATGGATCTTTGCAACCTGTGGATCAGGAGATCCCCGTGTGAGCCCAGGCCACCAGGGCGTTGGGTCCAATACACACAGCTGTATGGAGTCTTGACAGAGCAGCCATTCAGGCATGCAGAGACCTAGGAGTTTTTATATACTCTGTCTCCCAGATCCCTGACAAGGTAGAAAATCCATCAGACAGAAAATACCACCACCACCAACTACAAAAAAAACCCATAAAACTGCCATTCAAAGGTCAGCAACCTCAAAGATTGAAGGTAGATAAGACCATAAAGATGAGAAATAATCAAGGAAAAAAATGCTAGAAACTCAAAGAGCCAGAATGCCTCTTCTTTAAATGACCAGAACACTTCTCCAGCAGGGACACAGAAATGGACTGAGGCTGAGATGGCTTAATCGAAACAAAGAGGCTTCAGAAGATGGGTAACAACAAACTTCACTGAGCTAAAAGAGTATGTTGTAACCCAATGCAAAGAAGCTAAGAATCATGATAAAACACTACAGGAGCGTATAGCCAGAAAAGCCAATGTAGAGAGGAACATAACTAACCTGAGGGAGCTGAAAAACACAACACGAGAACTTCACAATGCAATCACAAGTATCAATAGCAGAATAGAAAAGAAAAGAATCTCAGAGCTTGAGGACTATCTTTCTGAAATAAGACAGGCAGACAAGGATAGAGAAAAAAGAATGAAAAGGAACGAACAAAACCTCTGAGAATTATGGGATTATGTAAAGAGACTGAACCTATGATAGATTGGGGTACCTGAAACAGGCAAGGAGAATGGAAGCAAGTTGGAACACATACCTCAGGATATCATCCAGGAGAACTTCCCCAACCTGGCAAGACAGGCCAACATCCAAATTCAGGAAATGCAGGAAACCCCAGTAAGATACTCTTTGAGAAGATCAACACCAAGACACATAATTATTTGATTCTCCCAGGTTGAAATGAAAGAAAGAACATTAAGGGCAGTCAGAGAGAAAGGCCAGGTCACCTACAAAAGGAAACCCATCAGACTAACAGTGGATCTCTCAGTGGAAACCCTACAAGCCAGAGAAGTTAGGGAACCAATATTCAGCATTCTTAAAGAAAACAACTTCCAACCCAGAATTTTAATCCAGCCAAATTAAGCTTCATAAGCAAAGGAGAAATAAGATCTTTTTCAGACAAGCAAATGCTGAGGGAATTCATTACCACCAGGCCTCCCCTGCAAGAGGTCCTGAAGGTAGCACTAAATACAGAAAGGAAAAACTGTTAACCAGCCACCACAAAAACACACCAAAATACAGAGACCAGTGACGCTATGAAGCAATCACATAAACAAGTCTGCATAATAACCAGCTAGCATCATAACGGCAGGATCAAAGTCACACATAACAATACTAACCTTAAATATAAATGAGCTAAATGCCCCCAATTAAAAGACACAAAATAGCAAGCTGTATAAAGAGTCAAGACTCATCAGTATGCTGTCTTCAAGAGACCCATCTCATGGGCAAAGACACACGCAGGCTCAAAATATAGGGATGGAGGAAAATTTACAAAGCAAATGGAAGACAGAAAAAAGCAGGGGTTGCAATCCTAGTTTCTGAAAAAACAGACTTTAAACCAACAAAGATCAAAAAAAGGCAAAGAATGGCATTACTTAATGATAAAGTGCTCAATTCAACCAGAAGGTACTATCCTAATATACATGCACCCAGCACAGGAGCACCCAGATTCATAAAGCAACATCTTAGAAAACTACAAAGAGACCTAGACTTCCACACAACAATAGTGGGAGACGTTAACTAACACCCCACTGACAATATTAGACAGATCACCAAGACAAAATTAACAAAAATATTCACAACCTAAATTCAGCTCTGGATCAAGTGGACTTCATAGATATCTACAGAAACCTCCACCCAAAAAACAACAGACTATACATTCTTCTCACTGCTGCATGGCATTTACTCTAAAATTGATCACATAAGCAGAAGTAAAACATGCCTCAGCAAATGTAAAAAACTGAAATCATAATAAACAGTCTCTCAGACCATAGCATAATCAAATTAGAATTCAAGATTACGAAATCCATTCAAAACCACACATTTACATGGAAATCGAACAACCTACTCCTGAATGACTCTTGGGTAAATAATAAAATTAAAGCAAACATCAAGAAGTTATTTGAAACTAATGAGAAAAAAGAGACAAATTTACCAGGATCTCTGGTAAGCAATCAAAGCAGTGTTAAAAGGAAGATTTATAGCACTAAATGTCCACATCAGAAAGCTAGAAAGATCTCAAGTTAATAACCTAACATTTCAACTGAAAGAATTAGAGAATCAAGACCAAACAAACCCTAAAGCTAGCAGAAGACAAAAAGTAACCAAGATCAGAGCTGGACTGAAGGAGAAAGAAACAGGAAAAACCCTTCAAACAAAAAATCAATGAATACAGAAGCTGGTTTTTTGAAAAATAATAATAATAATAATAAAATAGATACACTGCTAACCAGACTAATAAAGGAGCAAAGAGAAAAGAATAAACACAATCAGAAATGATAAGGGGAATATCACCACTGACCCCACAGAAATGCAAACAACCATCAGAGAATACTATAAACACCTCAGGGCACACAAACTAGAATATCTAGAAGAAATGTATAAATTTCTGGACACACACACCTTCTGAAGACTGAACAGGAAGAAATAGAATCCCTGAATAGATCAATAACACGTTCTGAAATTGAGGCAGTGATAACCTACCACCCGAAAAAAGCCCAGGACCAGACAGACTGACAGTGGAATTCTATCAGAGGTACAAAGAAGAGCTGGTACCATTTCTACTGAAACCATTCCAAAAAATCAAAGAGAAGGGACTCCTTCCTAACTCATCCTATGAGGCCAACATCATCCTGATGCCAAAACCTGGCAGAAGTACAACAAAAACAAAAACTTCAGGCCAATATCTTTGATGAACATTGATACAGAAATTGTCAATAAAATACTGGCAAACTGAATCAGCAGTATATCAAAAAGCTTATCAACAATGATCAAGTTGGCCTCATCCCTGGGATGCAAGGTTCGTTCAACATACGCAAATCAATAAATGTGATTTATCACATAAAAAGAACTAAAGACCAAAACCATACAATTATTTCAATAGATGCAGAAAGGCCTTCAATAAAATTCAGCATCCTTTTTGTTTAAAACTCTCAATAAACTAGATATTGAAGGAACATAACTCAAAATAATAAAAACCATATATGACAAGCTCATAGCCAATATTGTATTGAATGGGCATTGGCTAGAAGCACTCCCCTTGAAAACTGACATAAGACAGGGATACCCTCTCTTATCACTCCTATTCAACATAGTATTGAAAGTTCTGTCCAGGGAAATCAGGCAAGAGAAAAAGATAAAGTGTTTTCAAATAGGAAGTAAGGAAGTCAAATTATCTTTGTTTGTATATGACATGATCCTATATCTAGAAAACTGTGTCATCTCAGCCCAAAGCTTCTAAAGCTGATAAGCAGCTTTTTAAACCACAGGATATAAAAATCAATGTCCAAAAATCACTAGCATTTCTACACACCAACAACAGGCAAGCAGAGAGCCAAATTATGAATAAACTCCCATGCACAACTGTTACAAAAAGAATAAAATACCTATAAATACAGCCAACAAGGAAAGTGAAGGACCTCTTCAATGACAACTACAAACCACTGCTCAAAGAAATCAGAGGACACAAACAAATGGGAAACATTTCATGCTCATGGATAGAAAGAATCAATAGCATTAAAATGGCCATACTGCCCAAAGAAACTTATAGATTCAGTGATATTCCCACTAAATTGCCACTGACATTCTTCACAGAATTAGAAAACACTATTTTAAAATTCATATGGAATCAAAAAAGAGCCCAAATAGCCAAGTCAATCCTAAGCAAGAAGAACAAAGCTGGGGGCATCATGCTACCTGACTTCAAACTATATTATAAGACTATAGTATAGTTAGTACCCAAAACAATATGGTACTGGTACAAGAACAGACACATAAACCAATGGAAAAGAAAAAAGAAATCAGAAATGAGACTACGCACACCTACAAACATCTGATCTTCTGCAAACCTGACAAAAACAAGCAATGGGGAAAGGACTCCCTATTTAATAAATGGTGCTGGGAGAACTGGCTAGCCATATGCAAAAAATTGGAATTGAACTTCTTCCTTACACCATATACAAAAATTAATTCAAGATAGATTGAGGACTTAAATATAAAACTCAAAACTATAAAAACCCTAGAAGAGGCTGGGCGCAGTGGCTCACACCTGTAATCCCAACACTTTGGGAGGCCGAGGCAGGCAGATCCCATAAGGTTAGGAGTTTGAGACCAGCCTGACCAACATAGAGAAACCCCATCTCTACTTAAAATACAAAATTAGTCAGGTGTGGTAGTGCATGCCTGTAATTCCAGCTACTTGGGAGTCTAAGGCAGGAGAATCACTTGAACCCAAGAGGCAGAGGTTGCGGTCAGCTGAGGTCACACCATTGCACTCCAGGCTGGGCAACAAGAACAAAACTCCATCTCACAAAAGAAATTAAAAAAATTTTAAAAAAAAAAAAAAAAAACACTAAAAAGCGAATAAAGAACATGAAAAAACACATTTCAAAAGAAGACGTACATGCAGCCAACAATCTTATGAAAAAAGCTCAGTGACACTGATCATTAGAGAAATGCAAATCAAAACCACAATGAGATACCATCTCATGCCAGTCAGACTGGCTATTATGAAAAAGTCAAAAAGTAAGAGATGCTGGTGAGTTTGTGGAGAAAAAGGAATGCATAAACACTGTTGGTTCAAGTGTAAATTAGTTCAACCATTGTCAAAGACAGTGTGGCAATTCCTCAAGACCTAAAGATAGAAATATAATGACTCAGCAGTCCCATCACTGCACATATACCCAAAGGAATATAAATCATTCTAAGGACATATGCACATGTATGTTCACTGCAGCACTATTCACAATAGCAAAGAGTTGGAATCAACCTTGCCCATAATGTGATACATATATAAATAAAGAAATGTGATACATATATGCCGTGAAATACTATGCAGCCATTAAAAAGAATGAGACTAGGTCCTTTGCAGGGCCATAGATGGAGCTGGAGGCCATTATCTTTAGCAAACTAATACAGGAACAGAAAACCAAATACCACATGTTCTTACTTATAAGTGAGAGCTAAATGATAAGAACACATGGGCACATAGAAGGGAACAACATACACTGCAGTCTATTGGAGGGTGGAGTATGGGAGAAGAGAGAGGATCAGAAAAAATAACTAATGTGTACTAGGTTTACTACCTGGGTGATGAAATAATCAGTACAACAAATCTTCATAATGCAAGTTTACCTATATAATAAACCTTCACATGTAACCCTGAACTTAAAAGTTAAAGAAAAAGAAGAAATAGAAAAAAAGCAATATGTGAGTGGATAAACAAATTGAAATCTGTCTATATAGTAGAATAACACTCGGCAATAACAAGGAATGAACAACCAATACATGAAATAACATGGACGAATCTCAAAAATGTGGTTAGTACAAGAAGCTAAACACAAAAGACTGCATTGTATATAATTTCATTTAGAAAAGATGAAATTAATCTATACAGACAGAAAGAAGAGTAGTGGTTGTTGAGGGTTTAGGTTGCGCCATTGACTTCAAAGTGGCACAAGGAAATTTTGGGAACTGTTGAAAATATTCTATGTCTTAATTGTGCTAGTGGTTACATGAGTATGTAATTTCTTCAATAGTCTTAGAAATGTAATTTTAAATGGATGCATTTTATTCAAATTAAATATCACTAAAGATGTAAAAGTCTATACGTGTGTGTGTGTGTGTGTGTGTGTGTGTGTTTTTCTAAATTCAAATCACACCACCTTAACACTTATTCTGGCTCCTCATGTTTTCTGCCCGATACAGACAAAAGTCATTGCTATTTAAAAATAGCAACTGGCCATTTTCGCCCTGTGGTCTCTCAGACACACCAAGTTGACTTTGTGCACCCTCTTTCTGCTGAGCCTCCTTTCCCACTTTCAACTCAGTCATCATAAGCCTACCATTAACAGGGAATACTGATGAAGTGGAAAGGGGCAGGATATATGGGTCTTATGCAGCTCTAGATTTAAGACTGATACTGGGGATAGGAGTGGGGTTCTCTGTACTGGTGACAAAGTTCATTTTAAAGTGTCTTGATTTTTTTTTTCCTTTGCTCCACATGAGAATTGATGTACCAGTTTGCAATATATGTAAACTGTCTCATGTAGATTGGTTGAAGAGGAAAGACTGGATTGCAAGGGCCATCCAATTTAGTTCATATTTATTGTAGTCTTGCCTTCTCATTTGCATCCCATCCAAGTTATGTTACTCTTTGCCCCTTGCTTCTCACTGTGTTTTGACTCAATAAACCATGTAGTTTGGGGTCTTAATTTGATCAATGAGACCTTGGATCCTGACTTCTGAAACAGTAGCGTACTTAGAAGCTATCACAGAAACATGGTGATTTCTCATCTTGACAAGACTCCAACCTAATTATATTGTAAAATCCAAAGATGTACAATGGAATCAACCTTAAGAACTGGAATTTTAAGACATTAGAACAAAAACAAAGACATATAACAATGAAATAATGAGAAAACCCCTAGGTAAAAGTATGCAAACAATGAGAAACGGTGAAATTAAAAGAAAATAATTTCACATAACAATAGAAAAATACAGTTCATTGTGACATCAATATGTGTCTGGTGTCGATGAGACAAGGTTCCTAATCATGGTGGTAACCAGTGATGGTTATAGTGCCAAATATTAACAATACGTTCATATTTTAAGTGGTATAATCCATTCATACTTTTGTCAGTGAACTCTTAGCATAATTGTGAAAAACGCTTGGCACAGGCACATTGATACATAAGTAGTAATCCTCTTTCCTTCAATTATAAAAACTTGGCAGTTTTAATGCATGCAAAGATTAATATCACTCAGATAATTTAGCTGTAAGTTTGGATCTGAATCACCAAGAAAATCATACAAGTATTCAGAAGAACAGCTTAAATAATTATAGCAAATTCAAAATATTACCAAAATCATTGGTCTGAAATAAGTTATAGGTCCATTTCTTCTCAATGAGATAATGAACAGAAAACAAAAATATCAATCAGGTATCAAATAAGAGCTAGATCACTACTGTGGGCTCAGTAATCCAAGCACTGCACATCATGCAAAAACACCTTGAACATGAAAACTGCCTGCTCGTAGGCTCTTGCAATCCAGCCTTTCCTCTTCAACCAATCTACATGAGACAATTTACATATATTGCAAACTGGTACTTCAATTCTCATGTGGAGCAAAGGGAAAAAAAATCAAGACACATTAAAACGAACTTTGTCACCATTACAGAGAACCCCACTCCTATCCTCAGTATCGGTCTACTTCCTGGGATCCCCAAGGTAATGTAGTTATGTTAGACACGAATCTGCCTTTCTGAATCTTCAGAGCTGTATCAGCCTTTTGATGATCATCAAATTAAGGCCTTCATTACACTTGGGGAAAAAAAGATGTAGAAATGTATAGATCAAGCTTCTCTCTGCCCATTTCATATTATTTGCCTCCATGTGGACCCTTCCCATCACTAAAGCAGTGTAAAAATTAGTAGCCCACATCAATATCAAGAGGGTAATGAGAATGAACTTTGATACTTGTACTGGGAATCTAAACCACCAGAGATCTTGTGGGCTCTTGATAAGCCAGGTTATGTATACACAGGCTGATATTCGACCAATGGATACCAGTACAGCCATCCCAGTTATTAATATGTGAAAGTACTTCCATCATGAGTTGATAAATAGGGACTGCAGCAGTTGTTTCCGTCAAATTCTCCCTTCACCCATTTGGAGCACCCTTATTTTTCCCCTGGAAGCCTGAGCCATCACTAGATTTAATTCACCGGAAACCATGCCGCATCAGTTGTTAAATATTCTGAATCAATTCCAATAGTGTGTGCCAATTCACACACATAAAAAGATATATTTAATATAACATCCCTTGAGAGGATGGACTTTTTAGTTTACCCAGTTGTCTAGCAATAAATAGAAACCTTAGTTGGGTCCCTTGCCCTCCAACTGCTTGTAGATATTTTGCTTAAGTAAAAAAATGTGAATGTACCCGATAACTCTATTCCTAACAACAAATACTAGATCCTGGGGTTCTTCACATCTTTAAGCAAAGAAACTTTGGAAACACCTGATAAAGTATATAATTGAAGAATATTTGAAAGACAGGTGAAGCTTTAAGCATTAAGCTCATTAGAAGAATTAAACTTCATGATCTGGTCCAGTAAAATTCTCATT